CATAGCAATACTAGGGGTGAGCAAGCTAAAATGGACAGGAATGGGTCAATTTGACTGAGGTAACTACATGGTGTTCTACTCAGGAAATGAAAAGACATGAAGAAATGAAGACTTAATACTAAGGAGAGATGTGGCAAAAGCAGTCAAAGGATACAATGCAAAGTCAGACCAAATAATGTCAATAAGACTTCATGGAAAACCTATAAATATCACCATAATCCAAGTATATGCAACAATCACAGAGGCAGAGGAAGATGAAATTATGAGAGAGTCTATGAAGGAGTCCAGGAAGAAATGACAATACACAAGCAAAGGACTTCAAACTAATCACAGGCAACTGGAATGCTAAAGTTGGCAACAAAGAAGAATAAAAAACAGTAGGAAGATTCAGATTAGGAAAAAGAAATGAAGCAGGTGGGTGCATGATAGAATTTTGTGGGGACAATAACCTATTCACTGCAAACGTTTTTTTCATACAACCGGAGAGGAGACTATACACATGGACATCACCAGATGGCCAATACAAAAACCAAAGAGATTATATAATTGGAAGCAAAAGATGGAATAGGTCCATTTTGGAGACCACAACTAGACCAGATGCTGACTATGGTACAGATAATGAACTACTTATATCAAAAATCAGAGTAAGACGGAAGAAGAGAAGAAAGCCAGTCATTATATCAAAATAGGATCTGAACAATATCTCAACAGAACTTACTGACAATGTAAGTATGCCCAAAACACACTGCAGATGGACTTCTTGAGCTAGAGCACCTTCTTTTTTATTCTTTGGGGATAGTAAATATTCAGCGTACTTGGAAGAGTTACAGTTGGAGGGCAGCTAGAGAGCAGTATGGAGTTAAGAGACTCCGTTGCAGCAGTCACTGATTGAAGCACTGTTTTGACTGCCTCTAATTTACATAAGATAGATTTTTGTTCCTCTCTAGGGAGAGTGCCAAAAATCTGAACAAGTTCTTCCTCATCATCCATTGGGTCAGCTGACTTCTCTATCTTTCCTATTATTAAATCAAGATTATTGTATCTCTGGAGCTTGTCTTATTCTGACCTTGGGGCTGATAAGGTAGTCTGCTGTGTAAATAATTGCTGGCTAAAGTTATGGACTCTGTGATTTGTACCAGACTCCCTTGCAAACTTGATTCTCCTCTCAAAGTTTAATAGAAGCCGTACACAACTATTCTGAAAAACACGTATGGGATTAATTTGAAATCCTCTCATATTTTTTTTTTTTAAATTTAAACATCAATGTGGGAAGAGTAGAATGCCTGAAAGTCAGTATTACATTTGGCCTTCCATTTTTGCAGGAGATCTGTTCTGGACCCCAGCCCCCAAAGAAAACAGAGATTCACAAATATTCAAGCCCCCATGGGCTTGAATGGGGCATGCCCCATTGATTTAAATAAGGGTTGCCCCTCCATGAATATGCAAAACCGCAGACTTCAAGTCTGTGAGAATGGAGGGGCGACTGTATTCTTATATTCCAAACCAACTGGGAAGCTAGGAAATTTCAATAGGTTCATTGGAGTATACTCTTTGGTGTAGAAGTTGTGGTAAGGAGTATAGCGCAGCTCGTCTGTTGTACCATCTGCCTTCATTAAGAGGATTAATTGCAACCAGGAGCAAAATTCTATGCCGCTGTAGTACTAGCTCATCTCTAGACATGGTAAAACATACAAAGGATGATTATATTCTGGGACAGCTGATTTAATAGCTGGATCCCTGGGAGGTTCTGTTGTATGCTCCCCTGCCAAGTACTTTCCCATTATATGTGTAAGTTGCATCCTCAAATGGAAGCCAATAAGCTTTGGTGTTAGAGATGAATTTAATATATTTACTGTTTGTTTTACTGATTGTATTTATTGGTTGATGACTGAAATAAAGTGTACCGATGCAAAAGCTGAATAGTGAAGAAAGCAGATAGGAAGAAAATAAATTCATTTCAGATGTGGTGCTGGAGAAGAGTGCTAAGAATACCACAGACAGCCAAAAAGACAAGCAATGGGTCCTAGAACAGATCAAGCTTGAAATCTCCCTGGAAGCCAAGATGATCAAACTGAGGCTGTCATATTTCGGTCACATAATGAGAAGGTATGACTCATTCGAAAAGACAGTAATGCTAGGAAAGGTTGAGGAATGCAGAAAGAGAAGAAGACCACATGCTAGATGCATTAAGGAAGTCACAAGTATGACTTTGCATGACACACCGAGCCTCATTCCACTCACACCATCTCATCCGCATTTTAATGGGACACATGCAAATGCCACTGCCCATTTCTGCAAAAAGGCAGATGCTTGGGGATCAGTGGTGTCACCCACCTTTAAGGTGTCACCTGGTGCAGTCCGCACCCCCTAGTGATGCCATTGTCCTAGAATAGGAAGGAATTCCTCTTACTCTTGTAGCTGCTTGGGAGCTTCTCTCTACCCTTCTCCAGTCCCATAAGAGTGGGAAGAAAAATAACTCTTTCCAAGCGGCTAGAATTCAGAAACATAGATTTAATTTGCTTTGCAAAATTAATGCAGTTTGACACTGCTTACCAGGGCTCGGTGCTATGGAATTCTGTGATTTGTAGTTTTGTGAGCAATGTAGCCTTTGTCAGGGAGTTCTAGTGCCACAACAAACTCCAAATCCCAGCATTTCATAACACTGAACCAGGCAGTTAAGGCGGTGTTATACTACATTAATTCTGCAGTGCATATTCAACCATAGTCATGTTAGTCTGGAATATCGATATGCAAAGGTATCTTGTATCATCTTTGAAAGTTGCTGTGCAAAAGAAGTTGTAGCATAAGGAGCCCTGGTGGTGCAGTGGTTAAATGCTGGTACTGCAGCCACAAGGTTGTGAGTTTGATCCCAGGGCTCCAAGGTTGACTCAGCCTTCCATCCTTTTGTAGGTTGGTAAAATGAGTACCCAGCTTCCTAGGGGGAACTGGCTTACAGATTGTAAACTGCTTAGAGAGTGCTGAGTGCACTATTAAGCGATATTGAAATTAAATGTTATTGCTATTGCTTAAGCTTTTGTAGACTTGTGTCTGAAGAAGTGAACCAAGTCTACAAAAACTTCTGCCTCAACTACTTTCACCCAGTTACGGTAGTCTCAAGGGTACAAGATCCCTTTCCAAGTGGCTGCAAGAAGGAGCCCCTCCTGCTCTCATGGCTACTTGGAAGGCTCCCTCTGGTTTTGTTGTCGCTGTGTGCCTTCAAGTTGTTTCCATCTTACAGTGACAAACACAAAGCGGCTTCAATACTTTCAGCAATTAAAATGTGAAAAGCTGAAAGTTTAGCACAATCCTCAAGCTGAGCAAGTTGAGATATTCAAATAACTGGAAGTGCATTTAATGCTCACACAAAAGGATTTTTTAAAAAAGATACTTGGACTGAGGCTGCTGCCACACTGCAGAATTAATGCAGTTTGACACAAGTTTAACTGTCATGGCTTCATCTTATGGCATTCTGGGATCTGCTGTTTTTTGTGGCACCGGAGGTCTCTGACAGGGGAGGCTAAATAGCTCAAAAAATGACAAATCCCAGAATTCAGAGCACTGAGCGCTGATCAGTTAAATCAATCCGCAGTGTAGATGTAGCCCGAGTAATTTGTGGGTTATTTTTTGACCACATTGGAATTCCAATGTGCTGAATTAGGAATGAGGTTAACATTATGGTTAACAGTTAGGTTTAATGTGCACTTCTTGTATTTCCTGAAACCACTGTGAATTTCAGTATTCTCAGATTTTTAAAAAGTTACAACCATACGGTGTTATGGAGGTTAATGTGTGAGTGACACCATGAGTTGCCATACTGGGTGACACCAACCCTAGTGATGCCACTGGTATGGAGTGGATGCTGTGCTCCGATCATGGCTGGACGAGGCCAAGGAAAGCTGGTTAGCCTAAAAGAGTGCTAGCCAGTGTGATGTGTAGTGGTCTGAGTGCTGGACTTGGATTCTGGGAGATCAGGGTTCAAATCCTCCTTCAGCCACAGAAGCCCACTAGTCATGCTCTCTCAGAGTCAGAGGAAGGCCCTCCGATAAATCTGGCCAAGAAAACCTCATGATAGGTTTGCTTCAGGGTTGCCAATGCCAACTTTAAGGCATGCAACAGCAAGCATTTAGGGCTGCCCCCCCAATGCCTACTCATTAATCCCAAATATGTTCATTTAGGCAACAAGAAAAACACTCTGCACTTGTTAAGGTTTTACTCCCCTTCATGATGATTTCTGGCTGCCTAGCGTGGCTACTGAACAATGGGTTCTATGCATGTCTGTTGAGTGTGTCACGTGCCTTCGAGTCATTGCCGACCCTAATCTGAGTTTTCTTGTTCAGAGGAAGTTTGCAATTGCCTTCCCCTGAATCTGAGAGAGTGTGACTTGCCCAAGGCCACCCAGCAGGTTTAATGGCCGAGCTGGGAATTGAACACTGGTCTTCAGAGTCATAGTCCGACGCTAGCAAACCACTATGCCATGCTGGCTCTCCTGGTACAGGTAGTGAGCTGAAACATAAAGGTAGAAAAGGTGCAATGATGAATGTGTTGAAACTGCATAAGCAGAATGCAAATTAATAATATGCATAATTAAACCAATGTGCATAATATACAAAATAGATTGCTGGATATGAGGGACCGGAGTATGGCAGCCCTAATGGGAAGGGAGTGCATGAGAAATCTGTAAGAGTGAAAGAGTGAATAATCAGGGAGTAGCAGAGAAGAAGAGGAAGAATCATAACAGTAAACATGAACATGACACTGGAAGGGGGAGAGGGAGGGGTGCCCCAATGTAACCCCCTCACTGTTGAACTCATGGTGGACATACACTGCAGTAGGAAAACATGGCTACACACACCAGGCTTGCCAGACTCCATCAGTCCCAAATCATGAAGAACTCCTCCTAACTCCACACTACCATAGCTATGCAGCGCAGTCCATACACACACACACACACACACACACACACACACACACAAGATCTGGATATCTCAAATCTGGACTAAATCCCCACTTTTTTTCTCCAGATTAAAGCCCTGAGGCACTAGAAAGGTTGGATTTGGCTTGAATCGTACCATATGTTGTCTGGACAGCCCACTATGAAAACAAGGTGAGATTGCTTTATTTGGCCCTTGTACACAAGCCCTCTGTTTAGTCATCTTGGCTTCTAGGCAGAGTCCAGACTTGATTTGCTTCTCATCCAATTTATTTGTCTTTTTGACAGTTCATAGTGTCTGCAGAACTCTCCTCCAGTGCCAAGATTTTCAGCACCAAATAAGTTGATTCTTTTCCTGTCAGCTTTCTCCAGTCTAGCTTTCACAACCATACATAGAAATCAGAAATACAATGGCAAGGACAGTCCTGACTTTGGCATTCAATTATATATTTTATACTTGAGGATCTTGTCTAGGTCCTTCATAGCTGCCTTTCCAAGGCCTAATCTGTTTCTGATTTCTTGACTGCAGTCTCCATCCTGATTAATGGCTCAGCCAAGGTATGGAAAATCTTGAACTATTTCAATGTCTTCATCATCTACTTTAGTTATCTAAATCAACTGTGTTCATTATTTTTTGTTTTCTTAATGTTCAGCTGTAAACCTGCCTTTGCATTCTTCCTTGACCTTTCTTTCGCAATGGTCATTCCAGCTCTTTTGTTTCCCTCACCCATACCTTTATGGAGGAGGTATTTTCCTGAGTAAAACACAGTAATCATCTGTCCCTTTCCTGCCACTATTGCAATGTTTATACTTTCCATTTCATGTTTTACAATGTCCAGCTTCCCGATTCATGTTTCTCACATTCCATGATCCTATAATGCATGTTGTGTA